ATATATATAAACTTTTGAATGGAAGAATTTGTAATATGAAAATTATAAATTTTTATTTTATAACATTTTACAGATGACTCAACCCTGAGATTGAGTTATTTTCCTCTTCCTCTTTAGAGAGAGCCCATGTGTACACGGATAAGAAAGAGGCTTTGCAGGCTGTTAAAATGATGAAGGGGGCTCGGTTTAAAGCTTTCTCCAATCGCGAGGATGCTGAGAAGTTTGCCAAAGGCATATGTGACTACTACCCTTCGCCTAGTAAAAGCACTCCCTGTGTTTCTCCTGTCAAACCTGGCCTGGTGTTTTGCAAAGGTGAGGAATTATCCCAGATGTAAAGCCCATTTGAAAAATAACTTTGATTTATATGTTTAGAATTTAGTGTATACATTGTAAGTTACTGTATGTATCTGTTTCAGAATTAATGTAGATTATAAATGAATATATAAATTAGGGGTGGGCATCTTTCCGTACCTTGTGATTCGATTCATATCGTTTCTTGGGGTCACGGTTCGATTAAAAATCTATTCACGATTTTTTTTTTTTTATTACGATTCACAATTTTTCATCAATTTTTTTGTGCACACTGGACATCAAACACACCAGTCTATAGTATGGGGAGTCCTGACTCAAGAAATCAGTGTTTCCTATTAACTGTTAACTTCCTAATAAATCAATAATATTTTACACTTCCAATAATAACAACAAAAGATCAACAATTAATATATTTTTCCAAACACTTGCCCTCAGTGAAAATAGGGCAAGATGTATTTGTTTTCCCTCCTCCATTGCTGTTGCTGCCTTGTTCCGACAACATCATGTTGTTATTATTATTATATTAACTAGAAAATCGATTTTTTAAATTTATGAATCGAATGGAAATGCTAGAAGACTGAATCGTGATTCATATGTGAATCGATTTTTTTTTTCTCCCACCCCTAATATGAATGTTATATATATATATATAGTCGGGAAGTCGTGGCCTAATGGTTAGAGAGTCGGACTCGTAACCCGAAGGTTACGAAGGGATAAATGCAGAGCACTGATTCCGAGTATGGGTCACCATACTTGGCCACATGTCACGTCACTTTCACTTTTTCTTTTTCACTTTCATATATTAAAATGTCTGATAATAAAAATGTATGTTAAGCTAAGATAATCATGTATTAAAAACTGTAAATGTAAAAGTTTTTTCTGTTAAATTCCCAAAACTAGACCACCCATCTATGATGGAGGCAGACACAATCAACAGGGAGAAGGCGAACAGTTTTAAGAGCCCTCGGACGCAAGATTTGACGGCCAAGCTAAGGAAGGCTGTGGAGAAGGGAGATGAGATAGCCTTTACCGAGCTGGTGTGGAGCAACCCTCGTTACCTCATCGGGTCAGGGGACAACCCTACTGTAGTCCAGGTGAAAGCTTTTGTACCGTAATCGGTTTGTATGAAGTTGTTTTGGCTGTTTTTCCACTTGATATGGTGAGCTGTTGGCTTCTTTGCAAAGTTCAAAGTCTCTTTCCAAACTAGCCCGGTATCTTTATATTATGTTATTTATTTACAAACCCAAATATTTCCACATGCACCATTTTCCCATGTGTATGAATTCAGCTGTTTACTTTTCAGCATGTTCTTCCATATATATATATATATATATATATACGTGTTATTTAAACTTATCGATGCAATGCAGTTTATCACGTGATGAATCCTGTGAGTTCATATCTCATTGTATTTTTTTTATCAGCATTGTTCTTTACTACAAATTTTTTTTCTGAAACAACTGCACTTTACCTAATATTTACTATCATGGTCAACTTTCTTTAGTTGAGAGCCATATAATCTAATACGTAAGATGCAAACTGTGCATATAAAATGAAAATGGAATTATTCTACAGCATTTATAGTGCCTAATGGATCTCAACCACTATCTTGTGGGTGACATTTATGACGTTTAATACAGACTTACAATAAACTCAATGCAGATGACTGAATGTTGAGCCGTCACAGCAGGATAACTCCTAACATTTGTACAGCTAATAAAATGGCTTATATATGGCACTTTATTCATATTTGATTGGAGAGAATACATGTGGAATTTCTTAAAGAGATAATTAACCCAAAAATGAAAATGATGTAATCATTTACTCACCCTCATATCCATAGTACACTTCCATATATATATATATATATATTTTTTTTTTTTAACGTGTTATTTAAACTTATCGATCTCTCAATGCTGTTCTTCTGAATGTTTGTCTATTGTGAATCTGACTGCAGGAGGGCTGCAGGTATAATGTGATGCATGTGGCTGCTAAGGAGAACCAGCCAGGCATTGTTCAGATCCTGCTGGACACTCTTGAGAACCCAGATTTCATGCGGCTTATGTATCCAGATGATCAGGAGAGCATGCTGCAGAAACGCATCGGATATATCGTAGACTTGTACCTTAACACGCCAGATAAAGCTGTAAGTGGTGCTTTTTATCTGTCTTTGTTAAAATATTGAATATATTCTGATAAGCACAAAAATATTTCTACAGGTATTTATCATTTCTGAACAAAATACTGAACTAAAAAAAAAAAAAAGGTTCAACTCCAGTTGACATCTTGGATTAAAAACTTCATAATGCATTGTAGGATGATACATTCATTACTGCCTCAGAATTTGACAAAGACAATATCATATAAGCCAGCATTATTTTGATGACACTGTTTGGAGTAGGGCTGCACGATAAATCGCATGCGATATTTAA